AGAGAGAGAGAGAGAGAGAGAGAGAGAGAGAGAGAGAGAGAGAGAGAGAGAGAGAGAGAGGCTAAATGGCAAAATTGAAATATGGATCAAATTGTGGCCACTATCTATTTCACAGTAGGAATAAATTAAAAAAAAATATTGAGCGTTTTTCCTGGAAAGATCACAACAAATCCTACAAGTACTCCAATTTTGAATTTTCAGGTTTTTTCACGCATTCTTTTGAGCACGGAAACTCACTGAATTTAGAGTACTTTTTTAGTTGGCCCACACATGGCTGAGTGGCAAAAATGGAAAATGTGTCGAATCGGCGTGACCTAAGGGCTTACATGCATCTACCGTTGACTGGGGGAGGGGTAGAATAGACTTAGACTCTAGGGTATAGAATATGGTAGTTACCCCAGCAGGTCTGAGTTCCACCTAGCCAAGATAGGGGCAAGCTAGGGGAAGGACGGTAGGACTGTCAGTCTGAGTTCCGCCTGGTCTTGGGTAAGCTAGGGGAAGGACGGTAGGCTGTCTAGCTGGGGTACTGACTGCTAGTTAGCTGTCCCCAAAAATAAAAACCCAGGGGTCTATGATCTCTACAATAAGGATACGAGGTTGGTAGAATATAGTGGTGCCTAGCGTCCGAAGTTCCCGTACAGCGAGGCCTGTCCGATTTCGCTTCCACTTGGGCTGGGGTAATGGCTAGCCTTGGTGCGTATCACTACTGTCTGGTCCAAGTCACCCACCTCGCGGTTGGGTGATGGTCCTGAGTGGGTTACACTGAGGTAAGATAGTTGGGTTAGGAGGTACGCTGAGAGTATTGATGAGTGGTAGGGTGGGAGATGACCTCGTATCTTAGGACTGCGAAGGCTCATCGCTCCCGGTGATCCCTGTGTGCCTGGTAATTAGCCTCTACAACATCCTGGACTTTTTGGTTAAAAAATAATAATAATAATAATAAAAAATTGTTGTCTAACTTCTAAGCGAATTTTTGAAAATGATATAATACTATTCCTGGAAAGAACACGACCTCATCTATGGATTCTCAAAATATCATATTTTTTTGGGGGTTTGTCCGAGCACAGAAAATCTCCAAAGTTGCCACTTGGAAAACGCCTGTTTCGTTGCACCTAACCTTCCTGTTTTGAGAAGACGGGCCTCAACTCCTGGGCCTGAGGGCCTTTTTGCAGTTCACACGCCCTCACTTCTTTTTGGGGTCCGCTTCTACCCGAGGATAGGTCCAACGCCCCCCACTTCTTTTTGGGGTCCACTTCCACCCGAGGACCGGTCCTTCCTTTTTCCAAAAGTCCCGGTTCTACCAGAGCTAGCTGTAGGTAGTCCGTAATTTTGCCAAGGACCGGTCCCCCAATTTTTTTTGCCCCCTAAGAACCCACTTTGCGTCCTGGTCGTCCGCCGCAAAAAATGCAACACCTTGACACAAATGCCGAAGCCCACTATACCGCAGCCTTAGGGCTGCGAATTAATCGCAGGCGGCACTGACTACTGTGGAACGCAGCCCTAAGGTAGCCCAAGGAATGAGACTAAGAGCGCGCACAAGCAAAAGAGAGAGAGAGAGAGAG